AGCATTGTGCTTAACTACAGATAGACAAACAATAACTTGTCAATAAATTAATTTACATTAAATATTTTCGATTATACCACCAAGGTGATGTAATATCAAAAAGAGTAAGCTGTATACTTTGAGCGAAAGTAAAAAAAAAATCATCCTAGCCATCAGTATGGCTAATCAATATACTTTTATTTTTGCTTCAACTTATAAAGATTAGAATGTATTGCTTCATGAGTTGGGTACCCTTGCTGTCAACAATATTTTGACCATAATCCGAATAGTGTATCACAATGTTCAGCCAAACTTAGGAGATTTAATTTAGTCCTAAATACAAATTCTAAGTTAAGAATGCAAAATAATATTTATAATAATGCTATAATAATAAGCAATAAATTAAAATAAAAAATAATGAAACTTAATATGTTAACTAGTATAACCAATATTTTTAATGAAAATAACAGTATATAAACAATGTGGTATAACTTACTTAGGGAATACACAAAAACTAGCTGTTGTCTTGAAGCATCGTCATAGAAACCTTCCCTACCACATCACGTAACCAAAAAAAAAAACTCATTAAGCCACCCTACTATATAATGTTAAGAGGTTATTCTCATCCGTGACAATTCAAGGCATATGTTTCAGTTTAAACCATGTCCAGTCAGTAGCATCAACTTTACCATGGTACAACCAAAAACCAATGTTTATGAAGACATAGAATAATAAATAATAAATTAAATAATACTTGAACTGACCTTTATAATATAACAATGTTAGGTGTAATAATAAGAAAGCGAGTAGGTAAACTTAGTATGAAAAAATTCACTTTATGTGAATAATTCATTAATTTAAGGTCTCGACAGTTATTAAAATACAAATAATTCCAGATGAAGCTTTATTTAATAAAAAACCTAATTAGTCATGGAACTAGATCATTTGAATACAGTGTCATATGTATTTTATGCATGGAAAGATTTCTGTAACATAGAGCATGCTGAACATAAAGAAGCAGTGATCTTTTCCACTTGCAAGTCAGGTGATGCCCCAGGGATACAATATCCTTTGTTTTGTGGTGAGAGTTGACCATTATTGATGTAGGTGACGCCTGGAGAGTAATGATATCGTTGTTTTTCCCATACAATGCAATGTTTTCTTAATCTGGTACTGATACTAACAATAAGATTTACAGATTGATTTCATTGTTGCAAACATTAATTTCATCTCAAATGCACGCCAGTAAAGCTACTAAAATATATTTGCATTTAAAGTATTGAGTTTTTTGTAATTTGTGAATAAATATTGTTTCACTGTGTCCAGTCTCTTCTTTTCCTTCAAACCCAGTCAAGGTTAAGAAAGCTTAGATTTTCTGTGCCAAGCATTTTCTGGCGATTCTGCAGTTATTCCACAGTTCATACCCAGTCACTTATAGACTAATCGGTGAACCTGAGAATACCACAAAGGTACAAACCGATGCATCAATGCATTCTGGCCATTACAGTTTTTTTTAATATAACTGCTTCCTTTTATTTAAGCCAGATTTTAAATTAACCAAATAGTGGGATTTTATTGTTATTCTTATAACGCACCCAAAATCCCAAAGTACGATGCGCTATTTTTAATTATCTTTTTTTGAGGCAAAGGAATGCGAACCATGACCTCAGATCCATAGTCCAGTACCCTAACCTATTGTTGCGTCAGCGAGATCACGTGACTATTGTCATGCCACCTGCTTTCTAGAAGTATCTTGTTCCTTTGTGAATGCCCTAGCATTTACTAGATATATGTTTGTCTGGTATATAAATAAGACGCTCACAACGTGACGGAACAATGTGTGTGTAGG